TGCCTTGAATACTTGGGTCCTTGGTAGATACTCAATTCAAATGATAACAGAAACAACATTTTAATTCAGTAACACATCTCTATAAAGAACAAACTTTTGAATAATTAGAATATGTTTGATTTTTTTAGCAATCATAAAATTCACTCATGTCAGTGCAGCGTCAAATTTGAAATCATAGTGAAGATAATTCCCGGGTCACACACTATTTGATGTAGCTCTTGACCTTCTCATTTGGGAAGAACTGTACCTTTATGCTAATGTCTGGCCCCAGTCAGTGTTGAAGAGCAGCTTCCCCCCGCCATCTTTACTCTTGTTCTCATGGGCCTGAGTTTTGGGATCCTGAGCTGTAGCTGTAGCAGCCATTGCTTTGTTCAGGGTCAGCATCTTCTCAGTCATTGCTTCCTTTTTTCCACACCTTTTTTTTTTTTAAATTGGTGCATCATTGTTGTACATAATTGTGGCATTTGTTTTTATCTATTCATACATGCACACAATACAACAATATAATTTGGTCAATATCATTCCCCAGTATTTCCCCTTTCCCACCACTCTTCCCCTCCTCTGGTCCCTCTCCTTTATTCTCCCCATCTCCCTTCAATTGTCATGAGATTCCTCCAACTTTTATTTTCCTCTTTACTCTATAGGTTCCATATATGAGAGCAAACATTTTGAGTTTGGCTTATTTCACTTATCATGATACTCTCAAGTTCCATCCGTTTTCCTGAAAGTGACATAATTTCATTTCTCTTTACAGCTGAATAAAACTCTATTGTGTGTATGTTACATTTTCTTTATCAGTTCATCTGTTGATGGACACCTAGGCTGGTTCTGTACATTGGCTATTGTGAATTATGCTGCTATGAACATAGTATGCATATACCATTAAAGTAAGATGATTTTAATTCTTCAGGATAAATGCTGAGAAGTGGTATAGCTGGGTTGTATGGTGGTTCCATGCTACTCTTTGAGGAGCCTCCATACTGCTTTCCATAGTGGATGTACTAAGTTACAGTCTCACTAACAGGGTAAAGGTTTCCTCTTTCTTCACATCTTCTTCAGCCTTTGTTATTGTTTGTGTCCTTGATGACTGATTTTCTGTCAGTCATTACTTTCTTTATAGAACCCTGATATAAAGAAGCCTGTGATCCTCAGACAGGATGAAGGAGGGGGCAACAGAACATTAGTATGTTTCTTTGGGTCATCTAACAGACTCACTAAGCTCCACTGTGTGCCTGAGAATGTGCTGAGCACATGGTAATGGATGAGACAGATATAGTCCATCCAGGAATTGAGAAAAGCAATCAAGTCTAATGTTGTAAGTGCTAATAGGACATAAACTAGGCATGGTTGGAGGGCAGAGGAGATTTCTCAGAGGAATCCATATCTCATATGCATACTTGAAAGACGAACAGGAACCTACCATGCAAGAGTAGGGAGGGTGCAGTATCCACAAGAAAAAGGAGCCCATGCAAAGTCCTGAGAGTGACAGGAGCTTGGCATACTTGGACAGAAGGCATGGCTGGAACCCAGGAATGCCTTAGGGAGGGTGGAGAGAATCTTGGGGAGGAGCTGGGAAGATCTCTGTAAGCTGTGTTGGGGTTTTGGATTTTATCCTTAGTCCTTGGAGGCAAGTAAGAATATAATTCAGGATAGTGGTAGCATGGTGTGTGGTTTTGAAAAAATCACTGGCTACATGGTGAGAAGGTTGACAGGGGAAAGTTGGAGGCAGGGAATCACACAGTGGGCTGTTGTGGCGATCCAGATGGGAGATGGTACAGACGCCAGTAGTGAGGGTGAGCATAGGAAGAAATTGGTCTGCTTTGAAAAAGTTAGAAAAGAATGGATTTGATTTCTCTGTGCATGTGTCTGTGTACATGTGAAGGATGAGGGGTATGGAAGGAGGGTCCACTGAGGAAGAGGGAAGATCTAGAATAACACCCATGTTTCTGGTCTCGTGGTGGTGTGGTGGGTATGGACACACTGCTGAGGCAAGAAAACAGTCAATCCCACTGGGCACGTTCCTTCTGAAGAGTCTGTGAGTCAAGTCTGTATGGACCGAGGTGGACACAGAAATCTGAAGTTTGGGAAAGAAACTCGGCCTGAGATGACTGTCAAGAAAGTACTAAGGAAAAGGTCGTAAAAGGAAAGACCCACAGTAGTGGGTTTCTCTCATGTTACTGCTTATTTTATATGGCCTGTGTTTATATTCCTTTTAAATCTCTGATTATGGGTCATTGCTTATTTTCGTAGCTAATAAATGTAGACTTTCTGAGTGATGGTAACAAAGAAAAAAAATCATCTGCTACCAAAAGGGGGAGAATAAGAGAAGGAAAAAGAAAAAATCAAGAGAAAAGAACTCAGACATGTTGAAGGCAAAGTTCATGTGAATCCTCTGTTCCCCGAGAACCTGATGATTCTTGTGTACAGGTGTCTTCTCCCCCCACTCTCTGCCTCTCTGGTTGTTTGCTGTACCTGCTGTCCCTCTACTTCCTATTACTCAAATTATAGATTCCCCCAAAGGTTTCTCATTTTTATTTACTTTTGATCTTTACCTTTGCAGTGCTGGGGATTGAACCCAGGGTGTGGTGCAGTCTAGGCAAGTGCTCTTCCACTGAGCTACATCCCTATTCATCATTTTTGTGTTTTGGTGGACAAGAAAATAGTGATTATTATTTTTCAAACCTTCACCTGAACATGACTCATAGCTTCAGCCTTTAGTCACAGGTATGCAGATTCTTGGGTCTCTACAGTGAACACACGAATGCTTCGCAAATATCACTGGTGTAAGTTGGCTTTTTAAAAAAAAGTACTTCAATAGGATTTTTCTGGAGTATTTTACCCACAAGATTAAATGAGATTTAAAGAAGAATTTCCTCTTAAAGCAAATTAAATCAATTGCCTTAATAACACCCATTGACCAAATTATACTCATTAAGGAAAAAAATATTATTTTTGGTCTTCTTCTTCTAATAATAGTTGTTGTTGGTATTTGGTTAAGAAGGACATAACTTTCCTATGTTCATATATGAATACACCACCAGTGAACCTCCACATCATGTACAACCACAAGAATGGGATCCTAATTGGATTAAGTCATACTCCATGTATGAATAATATGTCAAAATACACCCTACTATCATGTGTATCTAACAATAACAAGTTAAAAATTAAAAAAGAAGAATTTGTTTTAATTGTAGATATCAAATAGGTGCTATTAAATATTTCTTCTCATCAGTTTATCAATGCTTTTTAATGTATTTCAGGTAAAAGAAAACCCAGCTTTGTCAAAATAGGTTTGCATTATGAAGTGATTCCGTTGTGCATCTGTTTTTATTCTTGTTAAGGAATGAATTCAACTGCACAAGTCCAGTGCTTTTTGTGTATTAAACATGTTAGTTGAAGAATTTCACTTGGTTCTATAAAGATAAGCATATCCAGTGGATGACAAATCCAAATAGAAGGTTTAGCCAATTGGCCTGTCATCCAATTCAGTTCTCCCATCTTCCTCTGGCTTGCAAAACACCTGCTTTTAGGGGAGAAAGCGAGTCAACATAATATTTGGCTTAAGTCATTATTAACTTAATTTATACTCATTTTTTGAGCTAAAATACGTTAATGTATTCTGAATAAACCCCATAGAAGACCAAACACTAACCATATCTTTATGGTACCAGGAAAAATGCACCTTTTGCTTAGAGTTAGCATCTGCCCAGACAAATTTCGTTCCTGGCTCTATTACTTCCACAATTTGTCCTTATTAATAAGGACATTTCTAAAAATAATATCTGTGCCTGGATATTTGAGGCAGTGTGTGGTCTCTTGCCAAAGTTCCAAGTTTACAACTCCATTGAATAGTTAAATGCAGATGATAATTTGAGCTGAAGTCTGTTTATACAGTAACTTTTATAATGTATATCTAAAGATGGAGGAACAAGTTTTATAAGGCCAGCATTTCTTGTCAAGCCCCCCCTCCACCCTATTTAATCAAGTTTGGCTCTTATGTTGAATAAAGAACAAAGAGATCTGTATTAAAACTTTTCATTATATGATGCATCTCGTCCTTACTAAATGGGAAGATAAAGACCGTAGCAGAGAATCTGAATTAGAGGGTAGTATGTATACATTCAGTTTTGGGGGTGGGAGAATGGGAAACATGTTTTTAAACAGTACATATTATTTCCTTAGTCTAAATCCAGGATACTTCCCTAAGACAATTAGACTTATATAAAAACGTACTTATTAATTAGTGAAGTTTAATATTCTGCACAATACAAACCAGAGTTCTTTTAATGGATAAAGAAGTGGAGGTGACTTCTGAATCTTAGAGTAGAAACTTCCTGTGATTGACTGGATGCAAGCACGTGGACATGTATTCTCACATTTGAGTCTTACAATAATTTAGGTAGTGAACACCATATCGTCTCTAGGTTAGAGAGAAGGAAAGGGAGGCTCAGAGATGTCCAGCAGTTTGCTCTGCACCCTCCAGTGAGTAAGTGACCGACTAACTCAAGGATGAGCCTTGGGGACACCCAGCACCCTCCTGCTTGAATTTAGGTCTTCTGTGTTTCATTTGAGTATCTAATTAAAGATCCTTTAATTTATGTTTTAGGAAGGACCACCTTGAAACTCATTATTAAAATCTGATTTCTAGCAGCTCTATTTGGACAATTTTATTGAGTGGCCTGGGTAAAAACACAAAACCCAGACAAAACATCTCACCTACCGAGAACCTTGACCTTCGGGGCCCAGGTGAGACGTGATACAGCTCTATCTAGGCTGTGTGAGCTTCCAGAAGGTGATTGTCCAAAGACCTCCTGGAGCAATCGGCTGAGGTAGAAATTAAGTCCAGCTGAGGTTTATTTGCACTTAGCATGGAGAGAAGGAGGGCAGATCAAGGTGGCAACTTGGGAAAGCCAAGTTAGTGATATGAAAACATCATCCAGCAGTTTCCCTGTAAAGTCCTTGAAATAATGTTAATTCTGTCCTCTTGCTTTTAATAGGGCATAATGACTACATGTGTCCAGCTACCAACCAGTGCACGATTGATAAAAACAGGAGGAAGAGCTGCCAGGCCTGCCGGCTCCGCAAATGCTATGAAGTGGGGATGATGAAAGGTGGTAGGTACCCTGCCATGATGCCCGTTCTGGCCGAACTTGCCTACTGTCCAGGGCTGGCAACTTCTATTTGCATAGCCACCAGGAGTTTAGTGTGTTTAATTCATTTTTTTTCCTATTTCTCTTTTCAACAAATGCATTTTATTTCAAAGCAATTGAAAGTGGCTGGAACTAGAAATTCTAACATGCCATTTTGTGTTTCATATTTGCAATGTAAATAATTGTCTATTAAATCAAAGGTGTATGGGAGTTCATAACCCACTTGAATCAAAGTGTGAAATATGAGATGTCAAGAACTATGTAATGTTTTGAACAACCAACAATAAAAAATTAAAAAAAAATAAATCAAAGGTGTGTGGGAGGAGTGGTGGAAGGAAAAGAAGACTGCTCAATGAATTATTCTGGAAATATTTTTTCAGTTACCGATGCTATTGCTATTGCTAGAAAACGATATCTAGAGATAAATTTCCCCCTCGATTCACACGTGTACATGTGAGCACTAAATACTAATTTATAGTGGTGCGATGTTTTGATGTACCTTAGGGGATTTGAATTTCAGTCAGAGGGATTGTTCACCTTTGGAACTTGAGTCAAGCAGCACATTTTATAATCTCAGTGCTGGTTACATGCCCACTGAGCACTAACGAATCCCCGAGCTCTCAGGATTCGCGCCCATGTGGTTATCTTTCCTGTGTGGCTGCTCAAGTATGCACATGTGGTTTCCCGGTGCCTCGTGCTCAGTCCTGCAGTTTTCTTGTATGGGAATCTGGAGTCCACTTCTGGGGGGTGTTAGACGCTCCTATTTAAGATCCCCTTGTGTTCTAGGGAATATCCTCTTGAAGAACATTGCTTCTGGTTTTGGATAGCCTTCAAACATAGTTGGGGAGAACAAATAGGCGCTGTGTAATTAAGTCCTGGATGCTTTCCATGTTCCACAGTGATACAGGAGGCAGGGAGGGGTCAATGACTGTGCGGTCTACTGTCTTCCCTGGGGAACGACTTTCGGAAGCAGGCGAGGTTCAGGATGAGCTGAGGAGAACACAGTTACAATGAAGAAGAATAGTGATTTTGCAAATAGAAGGCAGCTAACTTTTAACTCACACCTGAATGAAGGGAAAGGAGAGGGAAACCTAAGTAAGAATGGAGGTGAGGATGAAGGCACACTTGGTCATTACCAACTTACAAAAAAAAAAAAAAAAAAAGCCTTAGTTCCATGGTCAGATTGTGATTTTGAATACAGCATTCAGAATACATTTTCTCGGTGAGCAGATGAAGTGTTGAATTTAAGCAGTGTTATGAGATGTGACTATATGTCTTGAAAGTCTGAAAAATCAGCTTTAATTCAAAGGGTAATTAATTCTAAGAATTGAATAGCCGCATTCAGAAAATGACACTTTGAGTCATAAATGGATTAAATATTTAAGGAATTAATTTTTCTTTGTACCATTGGAAAATTAGTCATACTTAATTAAGCCCACAAAAAGCTTCTTAAGGTAACTTGATAAATGACAAAAGATAATGGCTATATAAGAAAAGTTTAATTTGAAACAGAAGAGTCCAAATGTAATATTCTTTGGCGGTTATAGGTAAGATAAGCCCAAGATTTTTTATTGTCTCTAGAAGCTGAAATAATAAACTTGTGAATAGGTCCAAAACATTTTTTGTTTATAAATTTGAAGGTATCCATACATTGACTTCACTTCTTGAAAACAATTCTTTTTTCTAATTAATATTCAGATACAATCTGGCTGCAAAAACATAAATTATTCATCCTCATTTTTAATCTCGCAAAAATTCCAATTTGTAAAGTCATAATAAAATCTTTCTCACTGTTTTCAAATAGAAATCTAAATAATTTGATGCTACCTGGACAGTCAGCATGCATATACTTGTACATGTATATTTATGACCATAAAATATGTATCTGTGTAGTTTTCTGGAGTTGCCATAGCAAAAATAAACTAGTTGGTTCAAATGATAAAAAGTAATTTTCTCACATTATTGGAGGCAAGAAGTCTAAGGTCAAGTTGCTAGAAAATTTGTTCCTGGTGTTGGCATCTCTTGTAGGCTTTGGATGATCTCACTCACATGGCCATTTCTCTGCCACTCACTCCTGGTGTATTTTCCTTTTGTTATAAGGATGTCAGTCTCATTGGATTTGGGACTAACCCTTATGACTTTACATAACCCTAATTATCTCTATATAGACCCTATTCCAAAGATATTCAGATTGGGGCTACAGCCTCAATATCTAAATCTGGGAGGACACAATTCAGTCATAACAGGCTACCATGACAAAACACCCTGGACCTAGTGGCTGAAATGACAGAAGTTCATCTTCTCACAGCTCTGGACGCTGCATGTCTGAGGTCTGTGTGCTGGTGGTTTGGTTTCTCTGGAGGCCTCTCTCCTTGGCTTACAGATTGCCACCTTTCTGTCCTCACATGACATTTTCTCTGCCCACGCACTCCTGCTGTTTCTTCTTCTCATGAAGACATCAGGCCTATGAACTAGCACCCTACCTGTTATGACCTTGTTTAATCTTAATTACCTTTTTAAAGACTTCATCTCCAAACTCAGTCACATTCTAAGGTCCTAGGAGTTAGTTAGGGTTTCAAAATATGAATTTGCAAGTACATAATTCATTATGTAACAATATCCCATTGGGATTACTCAATGATTGTTCAGTACTTATCTACATATAATGAAAATGTGTCCTTCTGGAAGTTTATGTATATACATGAGTTTTGAACCAATTTTTACCATAAAACTGTATGCTGCAAGAATATCACGTTTTAATTACATGTATAAAGTACTTTCCATGGGCTGGGATTGTGGCTCAGCGGTGGAGTGCTTGCCTAGCACGGGCGAGACCCGGGTTCGATCTTGAGTACCACATAAAAATAAAGGCATTGTGTTGTGTCCATCTACACCTAAAATTAAAAAAAAATTAAAAATAAAGTACTTTCCATAAAGCAATATAAATTATTGTTTTTTTATAATATGGGATGTTATAAAATGTATCCTCATAGCACATATAACCTCATGGCACCTTATATAACAACTCCTTGGAAATCCCAATGAATAAAAACTTAATTTACAACTGGAAGTACAGTAATAACTAACTATAAAATTTGCAGTTGTAAAAAACAGCTGCGACTAAATAAATCTTTACAACATTTTCCAACTGGTTTCATTAACAATCCAGTTTCTTAACCAGGCTAGTCGCCAATTGGAGTAGTAAATCTCTATTTATTTTTATGTGATGCTGAGGATCGAACCTAGTGCCTCACATATGCTAGGCAAGCACTCTACTGCTGAGCTACAACAGAATAGTAAATCTCTATATATGAAATAAAAATTCTGGCTTCAGAGAATCACATAACATACCTTCTGCTTTAATAGCAAGGCTGAATACATTTGTGAAGATGTATTCTAAAGATCTAAGAGAGCAGGATTTATCCACATGAAAAAAAAAATTTAATCAATCTGTTGATTACCTACTGTCCTCCCTGCCTAAATCCCATGATTAGATTTGCTTCTGAGTTATGATAGTTCAATGAGATGAGGGATTTAAGATATGCCTCAGGGGATGTTTTTCCATCTTAGTGTATTTTTTTCTTCTTCGTCTACCTCATTTCCCTTCAGCCCTAAGAATGCAGATTAAATAGTTCAGGAATTTTTCTTTCTGGAAAATTAGTTCCTGTGCCTTTGCATTGGGTTGGATCCTGTATTCTAATTTCCACAGCAAATGTCTCTGAGATTCCATCTCTGTTGTTGTTCAGAGTGTGTCTTCTCTAGTTCATGAACTCTATGAGGCAGTCTGGAGTTCTTTCTGTCTTGTTGACTGAGCTAGTATTGAACAAGTCACAAAGAAGGTGTTTAATGAAAATATTTTGCAAAAGTGAATTGATTTAATTCATTGAAGTAGTATCTGTTTCGGTTGTCTTACATGCAAGTTGTTGTGGATGAAGTGAATATGAATAAGCCTAGTCTCTTCCATCAGTATCCTCATAGTACAAAGAAGACACATTGCAAAGGTGCGTTTGAAGTGGTAAATAGTAATCCAGAAAATTTGAGATTTGACAAGCTTGGAAGATAGCTCAAATAATGAAGAATCAGAATGGATGTCCAGAGTTTTAGCCAACCTCTCCTGGGTTTAGCCCAACCCAGAACATTACTCAGCCCATCTGACTTCCAAAGTATATATTGCTACCCATGAATTTTACAAGAAAAGGGAAGACTTCAATACTGACCCCTCCCTAGACTAGCTGAGCAACCCCATTAAATCACTTTTGTGAGCTTCACTGCTCTGGGACGTAGGATGAAATAATTTCTACTCAACCAGTTTGTCATGAAGGTCACAAATCATAACACAGGAAAATACTTTATAAATTTAAAGTTACCATAGAAGCATTAGCTATTTTATCTTTTCTGTCAAAAATAATTCTTATCTTACTAAGGAACATCATGCTGCTATTTTTTTTCTATTGGAAGAAAGACACAATTTCATTACTTCCACTAGGTAAAATTGTTTAATTCCTTTTTGAAGAATAAAAACCTAGGCTCAGACACATATGCTTTTTTAAAGTCATTTTTATGTCATACACTGGATATAGTTGCATGATGAGGTTATATAAAATGATGATTATCATTTTATGATGCCAGAGATTTACACAGGTTCATTAAAGTTCTTTCCCTACAATAGACACAGAGGCAAGTTGCTGGCCAGGTTCTCTTTTCTGTAGTCCATGAAGTTGGCATGAAGAGGTTAATTGATGTGCAGGACTTTTGCACTAACTATCCTGGTTTTATTTCATCCCAACATATTGAAAGAAATTTAAGACAAAGTAGTAGTTGTCAACTCATCTTTATTTTGATGACAATGTTGCAATCTAATGTTTAGGACTATTACAAAACAATAAAATACTAAAACATTGCTCTAATTCTACTTTATGTTTGTTTTGATCTCTTTATGTATTTCTAAAGTCTAAATTTGTTTG